TGGCAGGTGGCTGAATTTTACGGAGACTTGCCACGGTCTCCAACCCTCCTCCTTTCTCATCCGGTCTTGGAACCGGCCATGGCGGAGTTTGTTTAATCATTCTGATCCATTATTGTTCTGTCGCAAAACCGAAATACGCAACTATAGCGGTGGTCAGTCACTGAACAGCGGCCGTGAGACTCAACAGATGACTTAATTATAAACTGCGCCATACACGTTCTCTGTCCGAGGATACACCAGTACCTGCGTTTAGACCCGTGTGTTGGGCGACAGCGCGGATCAGAAGTATGCCTCTCGGCTCTACGCAGATCAGTTGTTTCAGACCATCTCAACAGAAACGGCAGACTATCACCTTGTTTGCCTTGAGGAAGGCCCACGAAATTCGAGCGGTAACGTCAAAGTTTGTTCACCATTCGACCTGATCACCGGTTTCTTAGAAGTTCAATAAATAAACGGTTTTATTCGGATTTTATGATGTTGAAGTCAGCTGGTTTCGGCTTGAAGCGGTGCAAAACTGAGTCTGTCTGATACAACTGATCTCTGCAACGGAGAATAGATTATGTGACGTCAACGGAATAATAGAAATGACGTGGAGCACTTTGGGTAGTCAGAAAATGTTCTTGTCCGGAAAACTGCCCGTTACTTACATTTTGCATAGACGGTCATGGCACACTTGCCCAATGCTTTGCCATTATAATCGATTAAGTATCTGTTTTTGAAAACACGTGGCGATCTTTTTGTAAGAGGCGTGCGCAAACCAGCTGACTCCATTTCAGCTTTGGTGATCCTAACAGACATTTCATCACGTGGTCATTACCTCCCCTCTTTTCTCTTGACTTCAGCAGATAACTACTGATGCAAAACAGTTTTCATTGCTCTGATCATGCTTGCAATGAGGGATCGTTAGCGTCTGATCAGGTTTCAGTATCTGCCAATAAATACCTTCCGTCGTCTGCCCAGTCAATGCCAGGCAACGCAACCTTCTGATTGCGGTGGTTTCAATCAGCTCTATTATAGGGAGCGTACGATTTCCGCGTACGATACTAGTGTAACTGAAAACATGAAAACCGCCGTACCGAGCCTTGGCATCAGCGTGAGTGTAGCGGAAGATCCGACGGTTCGTTCATCCTTGTACCAGGAATCGTTCAGTGATACCTCTGCGGGTAATGGTGATGGTTATCGAAATCACATGAAACTTAGCCCTGTACAAGAAGGAAAGATTGAGCATTTTTCCCCGTCTGAAAAAACTCAGCAATCATCCGATCGTTCAGCCGAACCTCAGTACGTCTACCAGAACGCGGAGGAGGAGGCACCGCGAGCGCAAGTAATTGGCAGCCAGGAAATTTACAAAGACCCGAGGCAAGAGCGATTGAAAAGCCAGAAGCCCTTCACAAATCAGGTATGATCTGTTTTGTGATTCGTTTGTCTTTCGTCGATCGATGCTGTTGTTCGTAGATCGAAGGAGAAAAGCTAAGCTTCAAGGATAAAATGCGCCTATTTGCAAAAGAGATTGGCGAATCTACTCCAAAGGAACGTGTTAGAGTTTCGAGTGCTCAGAGAATAATTGAACAGTCGTTGAACGTATGAGTGCCGTCTCGTTCGTCTTTGCGAGCAGTTCAACTGGCCCCCAACTTTGTACACTATGACTGCTCGTTGACTCACTATTCTATTTCTGTAAACATGTAAACATATGCGCACTTTTATTTTCGATTTTCTTGAAGATTTTCAGGTGATATTCTATTAGCCTTATTTGCATGTTCTTAACTGACTTGTAATTCTTTATCATTTGCTATTTTTGTAACGGTGTCTTGTTGATGGCGATACTTTGAGTGATTCTGTATCGTTTATTGTTTCAAAATACTGGTTTGGTGGAATGATTTTGCGACGATAAGTTGTTGCGTATGCCGCACATGTCTTGTTTTATTCGATTGACGTTTCAAGTCCGTCACAGCGGCAGAATTCTATTCATAATTAAATATGTCTACCGCTGAAAGGCATCTAGTTGTCGTAGTGCACACACCGGTTCGTGATATAAAACTTGAAGGAATGTTTTCAGTTTGAACAGCGTCGACCCGCTCTCCTGTTTGCAGCGTGACTTGAGAAAACGTGTACATAAATTATGTAACACAAGTTCCTGTGCCGCTGGAAGAAAAGCAGGGCTGGCCACGCGATGATCGTGTGGCGTATACAACGACCAGAAAGTATGTTATTCAGATCTTGGCAATTTGGTGCCGTAATCTCAGTTCAGCAGTCGAACTGCTAGTTTTCACGCGCAGAGATCAGGATCACCTGCCGTCACTGCCTATACGACACCATCACGCCTTTGTTCATGCTGTACAGGCACTGCTGTCAATGATTACCTACTATGTCGACGTTGCCAAACGTGTCGTCTTGGCCCTCCGACAATGTTGAAAGTTAGCCACGCTTACATTCCGAATCAGTATCGTGTCAGAGACGAAGTGAAGTACTCCAGAACCTACTGTTGTGTCAAAGTGTACCCACTCTCGGAATCGTGTCTTTCTGTTTCAGCGACACCGAACTGTTAACCAGGCTGTGAACAGTCGAGCCCTTTTAACGGTGAACAGTCGAACCAGACAATACCTCTGTTAGTTCTTATGCTATGGAGGTCGGCAATCGCGCTGAGCCCTGTCGACTCCGGTTGAGGTTGCGTCAAATCTGTACAGCTAGAAAGGAGTTTATTCCCTAGGGTCACGAAGATGTTAACGAAGCTGTAATGCCGTTTTCATGCCAATGAGTTAGTGCCGACAGTACTCTCCTGTGATCATTCTTCGAGTAGGGATCTTTTCGATGTCCCTGCAACACCGATTCTTGCCAAAACTTTCAAAAACCTTGCAGTTATTGTTGATTCTCTGCGTAAAGCTTCGTACCGTCGTGCAGGACGGACGTCATGCAGGATTAGTTTTCTACTGAGATGACATACAAGCAGTCTGCTGTTACGGTATACTGTTTTTTCAAACGTTCGTTTTCGAGATCCAGGCCGTTGTTCATATGAGGTAGTCGCTTACGTTTCCGCACTTATTACCCTCTAAGTTGGGTCCAGGAATGTCGATGCTTTTGCCAGAATGGAGCTCTGTCGAAGATGAATAATTCCAACTTCCAACGCGTTTCTACGAAGTTCCACTGGCGTTATTCAACAATACTTGAATTTGCTCGATATGATAGTCTGCTTCCAGTTTGTCTCTCTTTACTGTTCTTCATGGTTCTCAATCAGTTTCACAAACGGTTCGTTTGTTAGCGGATTCATTTTGTTAGCTCTTGGTGTATGCCAACGTGTTCTGATTTCAGATATTTTCTTTTTCGGAAAAATGCAATTCTCTGTCGATCCCGTTCAAGCAGCAAACTTTCATTCGTTCATTCATGAATGCAATCGTTTTTTGATTCAGTCATTCATCCACACGATACGTTATTGCGAATTGTGAGCGTGAAGCTTGCTAAATCTGCTGAATTTTGGTGAATTTCTGTGTATAAGGGGAAGAGCAGATACTGACTTTAGCGAGGGCGTTAATGTTTCAGTATAAACCTGATTCTTTCATAATCATGGTCAGATTACCTGTAATATGGCTGAACTTTTAGCGCTATGGATGAAGAAGGAGTTAATTATATCAGCTCAATGACGACTAACTTTGTTCTCATATTTTCATATTTCTACATGTACATATGTGTTCTCGTATTTTCATTCTCTTATACCTCCTCATTATAAAAATTTTATTTTAGTATTATTTTTTTGTACATAATACATGAACGGTATAAACAAAT